TCTGCATTTAACCCATTCACTCAGTGAAACAGTGGGCAGCCATTGGGCGCCCGGGGAGCAGTGTGTAGGGATGGTACCTTGCTCAGGGGTACCTCAGGGTAACTGTTCAGGGGAATCAAACCGAAATAAATTCTAACAACAGCTGATAAAGCTTAAACTTGCTGCTGTTGTTTAGCGCGACAACCACCGGTTTCGGCTTTCTGGCGCAAAGTGGAAGATAAACAAGCAAGAGAGAAAAGCCGATCAGCTGATCATTGATCAGTTTCATGATTGAAGTAGCAACAAGAGAGAGAGGGGGAGAGAATGAGAGGAGAAGAAGAGGCAGCTGTGCAGCTTAATGACAGAATAACTCCAGCTTTGTGTCTTTTTCTATTGTAGCTGAAGTCTGGGACAAACTGTGTTCCTTTTCAGCTCAACACAAAATTTTCTCTGAATGCGGGACGATTTAATTTTTACAGGACGGTTGGCAACTCTACTAACTAACCTTATGAATAAAATAAAGTTCACTATCAGTAACATCATAGCACCCACCCAGCTGTATAGAAACTCTGTCATGCTAGCTAGTACGCAGTACGAGTTATTGTCACTGACTGTAAAAAGTCAGCAGAACAAAAATAAACTCCACCTAAACTTGGTTTCTATCTGACCCAGATAGACTGCAGGTCATAACTTCTTACTCTAAGTTCAGTTCACCTGACACTTGTCTCTCCTCCTCCTGCCTTCCCTTTCCCTCATCCACATGCTGGCCTCTGTGGAAGCTCCGCCATAGCCGCCACCAAACAACTGAGTTATTTTTACACATCGACCACCATCTGGCCAATGCACCACCTTTCATTGTTTATACTGTTACAAAAAAAAAGAAAAAGAAAAAAATCACCGGCCCATAAAAACAAAAAATCACCATCAGGCATATCAGGCAAATACCCGGTATGCCTGATGGCCAGTCCAGCTATGGTCATAGTACAGTCCTGGCCAATGTTCCCTCTAAGCTGCGCACGTGCGCAATTGCGCACTGCTGGCATGGTCTCTGCACACAGAAAATCTGCTTTGCGCACCAAAAAAAAATCTAACCTGAATTGTTAGTCAGTAAGTGACTGGCTGCTCCCTTATGGGATTAGAACGATGCCACCTTATCCCATAGTCCAGCCAATGATGCGATTCACATTCGTATATATACGCAGCTAATGAACGTTGTTGAGGGGCTACGACAACGTCCTTATGTGCCGACACCGGTGTTTTAGCTAGCAAAGCGGCATGGCTGATGTGGAGCGAAGCCACGTTAATGACAACGTGTAGAATCATTGGAGATGTGAGCAGGACAGAAGGAACAACTGACAGAAAAAGTGTGGAGTTTATACCACTTTTTAAATTGTGTTGATAGGCCACGTAAAACCAGAGTTGTGATAAAAAATATATGCAATGTTTTCTTCCTGAATACTATCGTTGTTTATATTTACTGTGGGAAGAAACGGTAAGAACTGTGTTTTATAAGGAAAACCTCAAAAGCACTCTCCGCCTGTGAGCAAAAACAACACCAAAAGAAAACCCCTACTCTTTTGCTATTGGTCGAAAAATGTACCATGTCGACCAATCACAAAATGATAAAGCAACATGGCATTTAGTTGTTTAGGAAGGGGGGAC